CTAGCTGAATGGTGATGAGATGGAGAGGTGGCTCTGACGCCTAATTGAGTGGTGACGAGCTGGAGAGGTGGCTCTGTTGCCTAGCTGAATGGTGACGAGATGAAGAGGTGGCTCTATTGCCTAGCTGAATGGTGATGAGCTGGAGAGGTGGCTCTGACGCCTAACTGAGTGGTGATGAGCTGGAGAGGTGCGAGAACTAAATCGCGCATCTACCTGGGTCTCAGGGGCTGATGCCCTTATATAGTTGGGCTAATGTGGGTCTCGCGAAACGCTCCTAGAATCCTCGGCCAACGACGTAGGGGTCCATTCTGCTTTGGAAGGAGGATAATGTGCCAATTAATAAGGCTTGTCGTTTTCCTCCGATTCTGGTGGGATGAAGAGGCCTACGGTTACGCGTCGTGATCCTGAAGGGTTCGGAGACAACTGGCAAGCTTCTAAAGAGGTAGGTTGCCAGGTTGACGACAGAGGCAGATCGCCAGGTCACCAGGTCGGCGATAGAGGCAGGTCGCCAGGTCGGCAATAGAAGTAGGTCACCAGATCGGCAACAGAGGCAAGTCATTAACTGGGACCCCATTTTGGCCAAGGCAAATTGTCGCCTAGGTGATGCTGGGATGTAGTCCAACTGTTCTGATATACCTTGTGTCATGATGTCAGTGGAAGGCCAAATCTGCCCTCATCAGGTGGCTACAAGAAAACTGGAAATTATAGACAAATAAAGAAAACCACAAGTTATAGAATTTAAATACAGGGTACTACAATAAGAGTACATTGTACACACACAACCATTCTGGGTTTCGAGGAAGGAGCCGGGGAAGGGTAGCTTGAAACGGATGAGCTGACCAAGAGGACCAACATTCATGCGCAAGCTTTGAGAGTGAATGAACATGTCAGAGCATCTGGCTTTTGGGGTCTCTAAGACATGGTTCGGTAACATGTAATGGCCTCCCTGGGTTCATCACTTTGAGAGAGACATCGAATGATTGCATTCCAGTCGTTAGTGGTCAGATTTTCATTTCGACTAAAAATCTCACTGGTGTAGTCGAGTCTCCCGAACAGGGAGATGGAACAGATCTCGAGGAATTTGGTACATGAAGTACAGAACTGAAAAAGACCAAGTGTGACAAATTGGGCTTGGGAAAAAGGTCATTCCTTGTGAATTTCGCATGGTAGTTATTTCTGTATTTCACAAGGGAGTGGTAGTTGTCCATTTCTATAAAGAGAAAACTTGACCTTTATAGAAACAATGACCCAATATCAACTGTTCACCTTCGTCTCCAACCTCTTGACACAGTCGACACAGCAACGGTAATCAGGGGCGACAAAACTTGATTCCTCCCTTATTGTTTTAACGAATCAAGGGCGAAGGGATATGAGAATGACTTAACTGAATGAGTATATACAAAGAAAAAGAAAAGTGGCTTCATCTACAATTGGGTATTTCTTTGTTCTTTGTCAGAGAAGATGATGAACAAAACGGCCACAATGTGTAAAGACTGAGATGAGGGGGGGACAAACAAGAAATGAGGTGAAAATAATTAATGAATTGAGCCTCAGAAAATGGGTGCAAACTAAGGTGTTTAAGAGAGGGAAAAACGGGCATTTCAGCTATTCCGTTAATATTTTAATGGTAATGGTAATTTTTCCAAACAATAAGGATAGTATTAGACAATAGTCAAACAGTTGGGGTGTATTTAGTTACTTAGCTAAACTATAAGAGTAGTTTATATAATTTATCCTAAAAATATAAGAAAATGCAAAAGAAAAACAGAAAATTAAAATGGCGTTTCCTGCACGGTGCACGGAGCTGCTGACATAGACAAACCAATTATATATATATTAGAGTATATATAGCTCGGATTTTTCGGCTGGATCTATTCAAATTTTGTGAAAACCGAACCTGAACCCATCCAAGGTTCACCCTGATTTGTTCTATTCGAAGCAAAATTATTAACATATTTTCAAAACATTTTGATGGACTTTTACCAATAATAGAAAAAAAAAACGAGACAAAATTAATAAGGCTCAATTTGTCAAATATGTACAGTATAAATAGATACAAAATATATAGTTTTGCACTGAGCATAAATTGGGGGCTAACGAGTTATCATTGGAAAGTTTATGGTGGTCAAAGTGGACAAAACCGACAATCACGGTTCTCCGATGCTTATCATCATAAAAGGAGCAGATGAAACGATCAAGTTTGAGATTTTTCTTTTTCTCTTTCTGTCTGTCTCTCGAGTCTCGTCTTAACGTAGGTTTGTGGGTGTGTGCAAATTACAGGAGCAAGAGTAAACAACGCTATGATCAACGGTGAGAATGGCAAATGAAAGGAAGGAGGAAGAAACCAAATGCTCCATCGATCCCTACGAGCACTTAAGTATAGTGCTCAACCCAGACGGTACGCTAACCAGACTGAAAACCCTGGATAAAGTGGAAGCAGTAAGCGATACGAAAACGGCGGCATCCGCCTCCGTCTCCGGACGAAACGTTCTCTCTAAAGATGTGACCCTGAATGCTGAAAGGAACACTTGGGTGCGTATTTTCCGACCTGTAAGCCCACATGCCAATGATCAGACCGTGGTAGGCCTTCCTCTGATTATTTACTTTCACGGTGGTAACTGGGTGCTTAACAGTGCGGACACCATCTTCTGCCACGACTTCTGCGAATGTTTTGCACGAATAGGACCTGCAGTCATCATCTCCGTTAATTTTCGTCTCCCTCCGGAGCACCGGCTACCGGCAGCCTATGAAGACGCGGAGGATGCATTGGTGTGGGTGAAGAACCAGGCGATAATCCCCAACGGCGATCCGTGGTTGAGGAACTTTGCTGACTTCTCTAGGTGTTTCCTTGCGGGGTGGAGCACTGGTGGCAACATTGCCTTCCATGCCAGGCTGCGCTCCTTAGACTTGGACCTTAAGCCTCTGAAAATCGTCGGGACTGTGTTGGACCAGCCTGTGTTTGGCGGAACCCAGAGAACCCGATCGGAAAAGAAATACGCCAATGATCAAATCCTCCCTTTAAAGGTGACTGATTTGATGTGGGAGTTGGCATTGCCCATCGGGGCCAACCGAGACCACCAATATTGCAATCCCATGCTTGATGCCAATCTCAGCAATAAGGTTGGATCAATTGGGAAGGTTTTGGTGAGGGGTTACGGTGGAGAAGTAACCATCGATCGGCAGCTGCAGTTGGTGGAGAAGCTGTTGCAACGTGGGGTGAAGGTTGAGGCTCGGTTTGATGATGTTGGTTTCCATGGCATCGATCTAATTGATCCTCGAAGGGCCATGAACACCCTGGATATCGCCAAACATTTCATGCTCAACTGCTAGTAATTGCATGCCCATGCACTACTAGTACTAGCTAATTTCTTTCTCTGCATTTCTCAGCACTCTCTCTCTTTCTTTCTGTATGTATGTCGCAAATCCCTAGTAAAGCAAAGTTGGTATATGTTCAACTAGGAATCCCTAATCAGGATAATAGACCAGGCTAAAACATGCAAACAAGTGTTTACTTTCTGTCTCGTTTATCTTTCCATTTGTTTCTGCTACATTGTTGTACTCTTTTCTAACCCTACGAGGTTGTGCTTATGAATTCAGTCACTTAATTTCATACATATATGTAGTTAATTTTCCAATAGCATCAGTTTCATACATATATTATTTTGCTAAGCATTTTGATCGTCACCCATCTGAATCGGACCCATTTTCTTCTGCCACAACATTGTCTATTGTTCAGATTTTCCAGCCTTCTTCTACACTCTTTTCTCTCGTATCCCTTGTCATTCACTCTACCATCTTTCTTTTTTTTCCCCCTCAAATTAATATATTTTCGTATTTATTAGTACAGTTGAGTTCTGGTAATGGAAGATTATATTTCAGTTCTACGGTGGAAAATTCAGTCATGGGTGACAGAAGCATCTTCATGAACTGTTCAAGACGACTGTACGTAGTATCTGTCTGGAACATTGGAAAGCAAGATGGGAGAAAAAAAGATTGCAACAAACCCTAACCCATTCTATTTTAACAATTTAGGGGCAAAAGCTATTAACAACTGAATTTTGACCGTGTTTTTATTGTAGAGCATGTAATCGATCCTCTTGTAGGCTTTGTGAGGTAATACTCAATGCCACCAGGTCCTCCAAAATCGATTCCTTATCAGTTATCACCTTGTACCTTGTAATTAAAGAATTCTTGATGTAGCTTCACTTGGAGAAAAGCAAAGTCTTAAGTAAGGGTCTTCAATTGAGAAGTAGAAGAAATAAAGAGGCCACGTGTCATTCCATCCGTTTACCATACAAGGTATTCACGACACCCAACGCCAAATTGGGGTTATTTCAAAGGAAAAGGAAAACTTTAGTGATATTTAAAGCAGAAGAAAAGGATGAAATAGATGGAGGAGTTGAGCAATGCAGATGAAAATGGAATGCACAAAAATAAGCAATGCTTTCAAGTACCAAAACTAAAAGAACTAGAGACAGCTACAGATGGTATAATTTGAAACAAAGAAAACGAATATCCATTATTCCTTTTCTCAACTTTTCATAATCTGCACCACTTTCCCATTTCCTCCTAGAAGGTTTGATTCCATTCTATGGGGTACTAGTTAGTGATTCTAGGGTCGAGACAGCACAATTTAGAAAAATCTCTAAGGCAGAAAAAAATGAAAAATAAAGATGATCCTAAGAGCAAAATCGAAAAGAAAATGCAGAGGAAATAAAATAATTTAAAATTTAAATCTATTGCAGTAATTAAATAGCAAATAAAATTGAAAGCAAAAAGAGGGGAGAAGCGTGGCCAAGGCTCAGTTTGGAGGGAGTACAAATATAAATATGTACAGTATAAATACATACAAAATAATACAAAATACAAGGTTTAACGCTCTACATATTTATATTTCTACTCCTTCCAAATAGAGTCCAAGGTTCAAACTTTCTCAAGGTATCAATTGATACCTACAATTAGACCTGTTCATGAGCCGGGTGGCCTGACGGCCCGGCCCAGCCCCCAGACGGACTTGAACACGCAAATGAGTCCACGGGCTTGACCTCGGGCCAAAAAGCCAGGCCTGCAATAAATTCGAGCTGGGCTCGCGATTTACCAAAATAGCTCGGCCCGGCCCGACCTATAGACTAAACCCCAAAATCCTAATATCTAAGTAACCCTTCTCATTCATCTCTTTCCACTTTTCTAGTTAGCTAAACTGCCCAGTGTCTAGTGTCGAACCTCTCTTCTCTTCACATCCTCCTTACACTCTCAAGCAGCCGCAGAATTGGCGAACATTTTCCGACGCAACAACTCTGACAAACTGGCGGTAAGTCTTCTCTTTCTCTTTCTCTCTCTCTCTCTCCCTCTCTCTCTTTCTCTCTCTTTCTTTCTCTCTCTCTCGTTCCCCTTCTCACTTCTTCTCTTTCAAATCTCAGACATCGGCGAGGCAGTGAACACCGGCACCGGCGGTGGCAGTGAGTCCTCTCTCTCTCTCTAAGACGCGAACTAACTCCACTTTTCACTATCAAAATTGCATCTCACCGCGAATTGAGCACTAACGGCAGTGGTGAATTCTCTCTCTCTCTCTCTCTCAGACGCAAACTTAGCACCGGCGAACATAGTCACTGGCAGTGAGATCTTTCTTTTGTTAGGTCGGGCTTCGGGCTTTTTATTAGGGCAGGGCTAGGGCCTATGTTGTAGGTCTGTTGGTCAGGCCGGGCTCGAGCTTGGGCCTAACAAAATCATGTTTATGAAGAGTAAAAGCCCGGCTTGGCCCGGCCCATGAACAAGTCTACCTACAATTCGGCTGAAGGTCCAATACATGGAATGCATGGGATTTTAGGACCTGTTTCGGGTTTGTATATGTTGTTCTTAGATTGTAATGACCACAAGTCCATCATTATGCTTTATTCTATTTGTTTGTCATAATTATATGCATTTTTATCTTTAAGTAAACTTTTTCTTCTTACTGAATGTTTGTTATTAAATGCTAAAATTGATTATTAAAATTTATATATTAATAAATATTAAGATAAATTTTATTGGTTTTATGAACACTAAGGTATGTAAACCAATATTGCATAACATATATCAAGTTAGGCTTTATATTAGGGCTGGACTCAACTCAAGAATAGGCCTTATAGTGGGACTAGGTTCATAAAGTCCAATCCAACCCTGCCTAGATCAACTTCAACTATGATATTTTGACATATACCAAAAAAAAATAATAATAATAATAACCAATGAACCGGTATCAAGTGTTTAACCATTCAGGTGGTGTTCGTTGAAATTTGATAGGGGTTTTGATTGATCAAAGCCATTTCCCCATATCATACCTAGGGGTGACCATGGGCCGGGCCGGGCCGGGCTTTGCACTTATGATAAGGGTTATAGCTTAGGCCCAGTCTCAGCCCGGGGTTTTGGGCCTGAAACATAAGCCCTAGCCCAGGTCTACATGGGCCCAGGCCGAGCTGGGCCTGATTTGGGCCAATGTCTTTCATATATAAAACATTACATGTTTATAATATTTTATATTAAACGATATAACATGCATATAAACTTATTTTATACATTATATAATATAAAATATTACATATAATATAAATTATACATGTCATGTTATAATATTTGTATATAAAATATATAATCTAATGTAAAATAACATGTATACATATGTATACATTATACACAAAATGTGTAAGTTTAAATATATAAGGGCCGGGCTAGGCTTGAAGTATTAAGCCCAAACCCGGCCCTAAAATTTGTGGGCCTGATGTGGGCCCAGGCCCAGGCCGGGCCTGAGCATAAAACCCAGGCCCAAGCCCGGAATTTCTGGGCCAGGCAGGGCCGGGCTGAAATGATCATTCATACCTTTCAGAGGGATATTCATCAAAATTCAAAACTACAAAAGGATAAAACGGCTTACTTCAAATTTGGCGTGGAACCCAGCTTTTCTGTATTTCCATGTCTAAGAGTGGATAGAGAAAAAATTGGAGAACGATTTTATCCTAGTCAAACAATCAATTCTGTCCATAAGGCTTAGTTTTGAAGGAGTACAAATACAAATATGTATAATATAAATACATACAAAATAATAAAAAATATATAGTTTTGCATTCTGTATATTTGTATTTTTACTCCTTCCAAATTGCGCCTAAAAAGTAAAAAAGGCTATTAAATTTAGAGGATAGTTCAATTGTATATATTTTACAATTTGGCTTGTCCAAAATTATCCACCACCCACTGAGGTGTGGTGGAGATTGGAACTTGCTCTCCCTCTATGTATCTATGTAGGGATGCAAGTCGGGTGGGTTGGGCCTGGTTTATGATCAATCCAGGCCCGACCCTAAAATTTGGGCTTAAGGCTGAAGTCCGAGGTCAAACCCAATTTTTCCAACCCGAGCCCAGCCTGTCTTGTAATTTGATGCACTTGGGTTGGGCTCGGGCATGGGCCGGGCTCAGGTTGGTCACACTAAAATTATACAAATGTAAATGTATTTATGCAAAAATATATACATATATTTATGCATGCAAGTAAATATGTATGCAAAATACCTATATAAATGTAATATATACAAATATGTAAGTATATATATGTAAATATGTAAGCAACATTTACATATATACACATATATATGTATAAATGTATATAATTGGACTGGGCTCGGACCGGGTTCAAGCTACCTAAGGACTAGGCCCGAGCCCGACCCAAAAAATAAAAAAAATAAAATAAAAAAACACCTAACTTCTTGGACCCGAGACCAGTCTGAAAAAATAAAAAAAAAAACCGACTTCTTGGGCCCAAGCCCAACCCGAAAACCAAAAATCCAAACCCAACCCATGTAAAATTCCGGGTTGAGCCAATTCGAGCTAGGGTTGGGCCCGCCCAAATTGCACCCCTATATGTATGTGTGCGTGTGTGTCTCTCTCTAAGCCTGTGCGTTGTCTGTTTAGGGCCGTTGGCAACGGATGAAGTTGTTGGATGATTAGATTTATTGCTTTGTCTTTTAATCAATTAGATAATTAAATAATAATTAATAAATTAAGTATTTAAGGATAAAGTGATCTACCCAAGTACTTTTAGACAAACCTGTTTTATTTTTAGTCTATGTAATTCAAATGTTTTATAGTGGTATTTTTATCTTTTTATTTTTTCACATACTTACAAATTCTAACATATGTAATTTGTCCAAATTTCTTTTAGATATTTTTTATTTTAAATTTAAATTTTAAGTGACATTTCTTTCTCTAAATAACTTTTCAATTGAGAGTGTATTTTCATTTAAAGTTTCTTTAAGTATGTATTTTAATTTAAATCAGTGACCTTTCACTAAAGTGCCTCTTTATTTACGGGTGTCTTTTAAATGTCTTTTAGTGCCTTTTGGTTAAAAATTCTTCATTTGGAACCTTTTATTTGTTAAATATAGAGTGCAAAACAAAAATGTTTGGTTCATGTAAGTGCAAAGTGATTCAAGATTTATACATCCACTTTGCACCCAGTTCATTTGTTTTGAAAGATGCAAATAAGGATGCAATTTTTGTGGATGTTTGGCATTTTCATCAATGCAAATACAATGTTCCTTTCTACCAAATGGTTTTCGAGCTACTCTCACCATTAAACAAATATAAAAAATAATAGACCATTAAATAAATATAAAAATAACAAAAATCCTTTTGTTAAAAGACTTGTTTTTGAAATTACAGAATCTAGCAAATCTCTTGCTGAATGCATTTTTGAAAGTAAGAGTAGGCTCAGCTTCTTCTGGTTCTTCTGTTGAAATACAAAGACAGACATAAGAGCTACAACTTCTTCTGGTTCTAGATCATCCAGTTGGTTTTCAAACAAACACTCTGTGCATATCAACTCTTCTCTAGAATTCATTTCACATGCAACAAGTCCCTTGATCTGAACTACAAGATCAGCATCTATGCAGCCAATTTCCTTCAGTACATAAATATGCAAAAGCATTAATATATTATAAAGACTTCAGTAACCATGTATCATTGCTTCTAAGATGATTTCACACTAGACATGATATAAATATGAACACCATTTTCTACCATATTAGCTGTGGGCATAAGAATGCATGAAACAAGTGTTCTAGGAGACAACTACCATTTGAACTTTCACAAAGATATTGGGTAATATGCATGTTCTTTTCACTCTTCTTACCCAACAATCAAGGTTGATGGGTTGCCTTCCACAACTAGCTTCTTCATATTGAAACCATAAAAATCTAAGCAAAGACATCATACTGAAGTAGGAACTCAATTACAAGTATTTGTCAATCTATATCTATCGGCATAAATTTATCTGACTAAGTGTAAAATGAAAAATATGACCCATTTCACATTTTCTTCTTGGTTGATAACATAACTTTTGCCAGAAAACAAAAACAAAACTGCACAAGTTGCATATAAAAGGAGAGGCAGCACAAATAAGAAATATAACAAGCGCTTGGCTACTTGGTACTCTAATAAAAAGGCCCAGAAGTCCTAGTGTACAAGGGAACTCATTACCCAGAAGCCAGCCAAAAGACTCAACACCACACCATGCTGCACATAGAAAGAAAGAAAGAAAAGAAAAGGCAATAAACTGCAACCACTAACCTCAACTTGCATTACATGAACCCACCTTCAAATCCCAAACCCCAAATGACATTCCACCACTGCAACCCATATGACTTCTCCCTCTAGAAACAACAAACTTATCTCCTTTTGCTTCTTAGCAATAAAGTTCACTTATTTTTTGCTTCATGGGGTTACACAAGAGGGGGTTGCCCATCCCTCCCCCCCCTTCACCCCCCCCCAACCCTGGTGNCCTTCACCCCCCCCCAACCCTGGTGACAGCGGGATTTTATCCCAGGTCTCTACTCCGGTGAGTCAGAGATCCTACCAATTGAGCAGCAATAAAGTCCCCACAATATCTTCTTTCTCACAATTTCTTCAACACTATCCTTCGGTCCTTCCTGCTCCCAACAGATTTCTCAGTTAGTACTCCCTTGAGTGCCCCACTGCCCCTTCCTATTCATTTCTTGTTGTGAACCGCTCAAAATCAGTTCCCCACCTCTGGACTCCCCTCCCTTCCATTCATCCTGCCATGTTGGTCTAAAGTGAAACTATGTCCACCCCTTCCTCTCCAACTGTTCATTTCTAGACCCTCTAGCACCTTCACAAGAAGCATCCACTGCTACTGATATCGTCACTAGCCCCTCTGCCTCCCTCAGTGCCAAGAATGCTGCAGCGTATATCTAGAGCCACCTAGCTTAGCTGAGAAAACTAACCCATTCCCATCACCCTGCTAGCAGTAATGTCATATTCAGTCCCTCATATTCTCATTCTCCCATCACTTCACATCATTAACCACTAGATTAAAAACTTCTGAGTTGAATGTAGCATATTTACATGTGGAACCTCTAACCAGTCCACCAAAAATCCAATCAGATTAAAAATCAGATCTAATACCTCAATACCCAATAGATGTCATGTCACTCAAGTATAGTAAATATGTAATTGAACAATTATGGGTACACGCAGATAGCAATAGCAATCCAAGCATATAAGCTATTCCTTATTTCCTATTGATCATTGTAGGGAGCAAGACAACAAGAAATTTATGTATAATGGCAACCTTGGCGGGAAGAAGTCTAGCCTGAACATCATAGTATCATTAGGAAAGGTGCAAGAGACATTGTACTGCTTGTTCTTTCCTCTGTTGAAGTAGATGCTACTAAAAAATGCTAGGTAGAATATAGAAGCAGCCAAACTTTGCACCAGCATGCCCATCATAACCTCTCAGCTAACCAAATTTACCTTGTTTATTTTGCATTCAGTAGAGCAGTCTTTCCTGATGCTATTAATTTGGATTCATGTATCACTTTAACAAGTAAAATTTTACTTTTCACCTGTTTATGACTTACTCCCATTACTAACATTTTCATCCTTCCTATCAATCAGTACCAACTACCACCAGAAGAAATTTTGAGCAATCAACTTCTTTTTTCATTATAAACTTGCAATCTTAAGACAAATATATAGTGGAAAATGGCCATGCCAATGAGAACTTCCCTAGAAAATGCACATGGGTTCATGATGACATGTCTAATTTAGTTCTCTATGAAAAAGATGAAACCTTATCCAGATGTAACTACATCTATTAGCAAAAAGAAAAATGACTAACAAGCATCTGCAATGCACCATCTTTGTCAATGTGTGGCCCTGGTATGCATCTGTCAATAGCTTCAAACAGTGGAGAACAAATCTTGTCTGTGGCATTGGACCCTCTACAGAGTCTACCTACAAAATAGAACTTCATCAAAACTTATCAGCATAATCAACCCCTACAAAACATGTCACCGTGTAGAAAATTACTACTAAATTTCATGAAATATTGACACAATTTTTTCTCAAAGTACAACTAAAAATGGCACCACTTAAATAGTGCTATTTGGATTGACATTACCATTAAAAGAGATTAGGCAACCGGGTTTTTAACATTTCTCTAATTAAAAATTCCAAATAACTAACAAAAGAAAAAGTTAATTCTGAAGTATGAAAGCTTCCTAACCAAAAGAACATGTACAGGCAACAAAATTTGTATGAAATGCAAAGTTATGGATACTACTCCTTTCCTTCTAGCATATTGTTTGTAAACTTAGGAGTTTCATTTCAGTCATGTTAACAAGATCATTGTCAACTATTAGGAAAGCAAATTGTTTTGTCTTCTTCAGAACAAAATAACCAAAACGGAGGGAAAAAACTAATTGTAGTCATGGGCAAAAAGTGCACAAAGAAGTTAATAAGCTGCCCAAAGGAAAGTAACTGACGATTTGACATAGAGTGAAAAGCATTTATTATTGGATTTCAGGAAGATGAAAACCAATAAGATCAACTTTAACAGCTTTAAAGCTAATTAGCTATTAAAGCTAAATTGCTGTACCTACAAATCTTTATTATTGTTTTTCTAAAATCTCTAAAGTTTATGTTAAAGACTTCTGTTAAAGTTGATCTTTTATGCTTAGAGGCTAGATAAGTGCTGAAAAAAAATAAAATAAAATAAAATAAAATAAAACTACTCTAAATTGTTGTAGCTACATGTAGCAGAAGAAACATGAATATTCAGACCTCCTAATGACAACGGTATGATAGAATGCTAAATTATTCAATTTGTAATATTTCAATCAAGGGCAACAAGAATGTGATAAAGTTTCAATTGAATTATTGAAACCTTATTTGGGATTATGCAGCTTTAAACATACAGGCAGGTTTATTTTGCCAACTATAGATATTGCATCCAAAACAGACTAAAATATGTCAAAACATAAAGCTAGGCATCCAAATTAGTAATTAGAAGGAGATGACAGATCCACTTAGAACATTGATATAATAAATGGGGTTGAGGTTTAATTTGTTGTAAACATAAGATCCAGAAGCTGTACAGGCCAATTGGTTCCCACAAGGAAATATATAACCTGATATTATTAATTAGGATTAAGGGTGGTGGATGAAGTAATCAAAGAAAGTAGATATATTGCAGAAATTAAACTCATTCTCACCATTCTAATTCGGTATAAGATCTGAACTGATAACTTCCTATCGATCAGCAATAAATCTTTGGATTCCCAAGAACAGACCAGCCCCTTCGAAAGTGAGAAAAACCCACCAACACTAATGCACTTAATCAATCAAAAAAGAATACGAATATGACCCTCACACATATCAGTCAAACTAAACAAAAATAAATCAACAGACAAGTGATGTGGCTCATTGTGACACTAGCAAGTGCACTAGCCGTTCAAGTAATAAAGTAGTGAATAGAGTATCGTTCCCACGAGAATTTAGGAAACAAGTATCAATACTAAATTGAGTACTTCTTATCTGATTAACAAACAAATCAAAACTTTAATGAAAGCTAAAAATCCTAAACTAAAATCTATCTAAATCATTGGCCCAATTGCCTTCAAATCAGGTTAGAAGAGTAAGCAGTAAATGTCAATCTCAGAATTCAGCAATCTATCAATTTGGATCATTCGAATAAATCATGATTGAGCCTTGGTTTGGTCAGACCCCAAGCTCATGAACAGCCTCTTTTGAGTGCATGTTCAATCTATGCATGAGTGATGATCCCCATATCTATCAAGGATTTAACCCTCATGCATGCATTTCTTCAAACACATCTAAGGTATCAATTCAAAACTGAATTGATTACCAACTGAATTGTGCAAGTTATCTTTAATCTTGCATCTAATTCAGTTCTTGAATAATAGATCTGAATTCCTAGAGTCTCTCTCAAGCACTCTAGGAATTCAAAGCTTTATATCCATTCGACCAATCTGAAATTTGCAGATCTGAATTCAGATCTGAGTTTTGAAGGTTAGTTGGCCGAATTAATCTATAATAACACCCTTATTCAAGAAACTTCAAGTACAATTCATAACCATTCAAATGAATCAAAAAAGAATTAGATTGCTAAACTGAAATTTTACAAGCTAAAATACATCAAGAATGGAAGGAGAAAGAAAAAAGAAAATATAACAAAGAAACTAAATTCAAATCAAAGGAGAATGAAACTACAATTGATTTATTACAAAAGATCTCTAAATCACATACCCCCAATTTCGAACTCACCTTCTCTTCTTGCTTGCTTGACTTAATCTCCTTTAGCCCTTCTTCTTCTTCTTCCTTGCGCCTAGCCTTCTTTTCTTCTCTTCTTTCAAGGTGGCCGGACCTCTAAGAGTGGGAGAGTCTTCCTCTCAAGCAATTGAACACCTCTCCCCCCTCCTAGAGGCCTCCTTATATTCTTGAAGCCTCTAGAATAGGGTGTATTACACCCCTTTCTTGAACTTTCTAGAGCTCTCTTGAAAGCCTCCTAAGGGCTGCTATTTGGGCTGCACTTAGRCTCTCTCTTAGCACATGATAGCTATACTTTGAACTGCTCTTTTGGGCTGAGAATGGGCTTTCTTTGCTGGGCCAAATTCTACTCTTAACTAGGCTTTCTTTTCTTGGGTTTTCTTAAGGAATCCACTTGCTCTTCTTGGGTCGAAGTGCTCTCTCTTGCTTCCACAACTGGGCTGGGCTGAATTTGGTCTTTTTGAACCTTCTTTTCTTGCCTTTTTCCTTCCTTTTCTTGGATTAATTACCCCTGAAACTTATTCTTAGCATTAAGCTAAATTAAGGCAAAAATTAATAAAACYRGCAKAAAAATCCATGCTAAAGTCCTCAAAAATTATAGATAAATTGTAGGTTCATCAACAAGCAACAACTCTAGCATTCCAAAAAGAAAAACAGACAAGCAATGACTTATCCTTCACTCTCTAGCATTCTTTTCAGCCTGTAATATATATTAATAAAATCGGTCAGATTAACGACTCTTTCTTTTAATGGCAACGACTCTTTAATTTCAATTTGCAAGGGATATCACCACCGTATTGAAAGAAACAGTACCAACATAGAAACAATTGCACCCAAATACAAACTGAAATATGTCAAAACATAAAGCTAGGCAGCCTAATTAGTAATTAGAAGGAGATGGCATAATCTGGTGCCAAGTATGAAGAGAAGTAAGATGAGGTAGAAAGCAAATTGCAACCAATGGAAAAATGGAAGTAGATAGCAAGGTAGATGGAACATTACCTAGAAATGAAGAGGTTAGGATTCTCTCTTAAAACGAAAATTCCAACGAATGGAAAAACGGATCGAACACGACCTAAAAACGAAGAGGTTAAGATTCTCTCAACGGAAAACCGAACAAACAACAAAGTAGATTGTAGCTAATCGGAAAATGAAGGTAGATCGGATTACATCTGTGAAAACGAAGGCAGTTCAGAGTCGTTCAGAGTTGTTCTACTCCGTTTTTACTCTGTTTCTCTTCTATCTACTCCGTTTCTACACAATCGCTCGCAGCTACCTTTAGTTCGCAGTTCAGAGTTGCTCGCAGTTGAAAGTCGCTCTCCGTTCTCCTCTGTCTCTCTTTTTCTTCGAGGGTTTTGGAGAAAAAAAAAAAAAACTCAAAACTGATGCAACCACAATACCTATTTACTTCGACCGACCATAGGAGCAATTTTTTTTTTCGTTTTTAAAAAGCAATATTTTCTCCTCTCTTCCATACAAAGAAAATATACAAATTTGCATCGAAAATCAATGCTTTTTTGAAACCTAATCAAACAGATGCAAATCTGAACCAGAGTGCAAATCTGCACTTCAACCAAACGCAGCCTTGGTAACCTTTCATACTTGCCTTTTCTTTGTTTAGTGCCTTTTTCTCATAAGGTGCCATTGGATCTATATATACCAAGGGCATTAGAGACTCAAAACACAAGAAACAATATCCTTCTCTCCTACTCCTTTCTTACACTTGTTTTGGCATTTTCACATTCTCATGCATTGAATCAATTAAGTTGGATTGCATAAACCAAATTAGAAGATTGCTGCAGTTCGTGTGATCCAGTATTTCCAAGTGCACGGTTACTAGGAGCCACAAAAGTTGTTGAATCCTAAAGAAAGACGCCGAAATAGTATGCATCAAACTTGATCCATAGGAGGTGAAATTTTGTTTAAGTTATAGGTCATGACTTGTGGCTTTGTAACTTCCTCTATCAGTTTTCATTTTATTTGGAAATTGCTTTTGTCAGTTTGTTCGCCAATTACGGTGGTTTGGAGATGTATTTATCCACTTTTGTTGGTGATGTTAAGTCATCTTTCTTTGATTGCAGAAGTTCTTCCGATTCTCCTACATTCATCTCTTTGCTTTATTCTTTTTGAGAATGTCTCTAAACTTTACTTGGCCCTGTTGGCATCTATTTGTGTCAATCTCTTGAATGAATAAAACATGATTAAAGCCTTCAAAAAAAAAAATTGTTTAAGGACATTGTCTTAGACACGGTTAAACCAATAGGTCCAATTTTCTCCATTTTCTTACTTTTCTAACTTTGCTTGCTATTGATGGTTTTCTACTCTATTTTTTATAATTACATTATTTTTCTATCAGATTTCTTTAATTTGTTACAACTGAATTATTTTCTCTTAGAAGTTACATTTCTATACTCCTTTTGTTATAAACAGTATCCATATACACTTCTTACAAAAGCAACAAGTGTTTCAATAATCCAGCCACTTCAACTATTATCAAATGGCCCTTGAATCGCTCCCTCTGCCACTACGTGAGTGGGCAGGCTAGTCGGCTAGGTGATAGATAGAGATGGAAGGCAACAATGACAACCCTTGGAGGAGTGTGGGTTTTTGAACTTTTGAGTGCTTATAGATTTGTAGTGAAATTCAGAAATCTGCATTAGGCCTATCTATATTTTTATGTATATCTTATCCTCAGTAATGAGTCCGCATTTGCACTGGATGCGTCAACCCACCAATAAGGAGCTACCATGTAGCATTTTGAATTTTGGTTTTATTTAATGGGTTTTCTACCATTAGCAATTGGAATCCAGTTGAACCAGATACAAAAAGACAAAAAAAATATTAAATCCACTCAAACTCCCTCTTCCTCCTTGATGAGGGGTAATTTGGCTCAACCTATTAACATCTGGACACGTGGAAGTAACCTGCTAATTGGATGATGACTCGACATTCCATGCCACCTCAGCGAGCCAGGTCAGCTCAGGTACCTCGAGCACCTCGACCAAGACCAAGGTCCGAGTAGCTCGTTATGGCTCGGCTTGCCAAAGTGACATGTAGCCAACTTCTAGAAACTAGTCAGTTGTCTCCAAGCTCTTCGGGATCACGCTGCACGTCTGCAAGTCTTATCCTTATGCTGCTTGGATTGGACGAACTCAATAAGCCTTATCAACTAAGTCTACAAATCTTATCCTTGTTGCATGCGAGGTGAAGAAAAGAAGAGTTGTGTTCCATTACTTCAAAAGGTTAATTTGTAAATTCAAAAAAAAAAGAAGAGAGAGAAAAGTCTACTAAACCAAGCTCGGAGGCTCAGTAGATGATGTTTGTATAGGGGGTCCAACAAAAGAGGGAGAGATTAATCATCATGGGGCTCCTTGCCCCTAGCCTCGGTAGTTCTAGAACTGTCTTTGGCCTCATCAGTCTCCATGGCCTCCTCGGCAGTGGCATCTGGGATGTCCTTCTCCACAGTTCCCTCGTCGACATCGTCATCACCTTCCTCCTCAGAGTCTAGGTCTTTGTCAGTTTCAAGCATCATCTCTGTAGTGACTCCGATTGTGGTGACAACTCCAAGGTCAAGCTCGAGGAACACACACCTAGCCAACCAATGACATAGCTTAAAGCCCTTTCGGAAGGCTATTGTACTGAGGTCCTACCTAAGTTTGTTGAACTCCAACGAAGCCTTGTAGTTTTTGATAGCAAGGACCTTGGCGTCCTTGATCCCCTGAGTAAGAAGGGCTTCGCACTGAGTGAAAGTGTTCCTTTGCTCGTCGGACTCCTTTGTCAATCTCTCGATATGCCCGTTCTTCGCTGCCACCTCAGCCTCCAGCTTTCTGATATTGTCAATAGCCTTCACTAGCTTGGTCCGGCACTCTGCGACCACTACCTCAGCAGCTTATACTTTCGCAGCCTGTGGCTCGGACTACTTTAGGAGTGAGTGGATCATGGAGTTTGTCTGCAAAAGGAACAAAATTTACTAAGTACAAAAGAAAATACAAGCAAAAGCATAGTATCGAGATCAGAGACATACCACCATTAGGTGACCTAGTACCTGGGCGCCTAGCTCGGGAATCTGCAACTCGGCAAACTTAGAGACTTCTTCGGGGAAAATTGCCTCCTTGCTCTTTTTGAGGCTAACCCGGATGTCCATGATGCTCTGGCTCTCCTTGGGGCCCTCACCTAAAGAGCCTGCCCTAGGATGATTGGGCCAAAGCTTGGAAAACTAGGCTAACTCGGGCTGGTGAGGCAGTGACTTCCTCTCTTGGTCCTCCTTGTCCCTAGCAGGGACAGCGGACTCGGTTGCTAGTTTTTGGGAAGAATTTCCTCGAGAGGCCTTCCTCTTCTTTATCTTCTTCATGTTGGAGAAAAGTTTGGACATCGGAATATCAACCATAATACCTGTGAAAGACGAGCAGAAGATCAATCAAAGTTATGCAAAAGAAGTTAGTACGAAAAGATAAAGTACATATGCCCGAAGTGATGACCTACCCGAGCGACTTCGCCTGGCCTTAACGAGTTTCTCCTCAACCAAGTAGTCCTTCGGCTTTAGCTGAGCTCTACCATGGTTCACATTTTCTTCTTCATCTTCCTATCCAATCAATCCCCGGGTTCACTAGTGCCTTTCCTCCAGTGAGTTGGGAAAGGTCATCCCCCATCAACGGCACGAGTGAAGTATCTACTCTTCCAGGCTAGGACTTTTGAGGGATACTCATGAAGAAGCTTATATCCAAGCCAGTATGGTATATAGTAACTATACTTGTTCCCATCCTTAGGACCAGCTAGATTCTATTTTATGGAGCAGAGCGAGCTAAAAGTATCTAAGTCTAAGGGAAAGTCAAAGTCGTAAAAAACAGAGATGGTACCGACCAGGGTGCGAACTGAGTTCGGGTGGAGTTGATTGATGGTAATTTTAAAATATTTCAAAACTTCAATAAAGAAGAGGTGAAGAAGGAAGCAAAGCCCGGCAATCAAGTGCTCCAAGGGCAGGAAATAACCATAGTGATCGGGAAATTTATACCGAGTAGCTAAAGCATGGCTCTACTCGGGTGACATAGCAAAAGGACCAAAGCGGTCGGTCTAGTTCTCGAGATGGATGTGTGCAACATGAAGACGACACTTTCTTATAGGAGGATTTTTGGTCCTGAACCAAGGTGCCCACCTCGGTTGGACCGAACTCTAGATCTTGAGCCGAGTTGCCCTCCTCGGCCTGACCAAACTCCCCACTCTCCTCAAACAAACTACTGCTACTTGACATGATGGAAATGAAGACAAGAAGAAACTAGAACAAGGGAAGGTAGCTTACCTAAAAAGGAGGAGACCGACCTCAAGAACAGATGACTGACCTGGAAGACAAAGAAAATGGGACCCCAAGTCCCCTATTTATAGCCATTGTAGTCGATCACAGGTGGATTAGATCAATCTAATCTGACAGCTCCTATGAGGGTGGTCGCACGACTTTCTAGGTCAAAATCGTTTGAGCGCGTGTTTGACGTCCACGAAATTTATAATCCGAGTGACGTCTGTGCATCCCCAAGACGTGGTCTAGCTCTAAGGTTGAGCCAATCGAGTCATTTTGGTCTGACCCACAAATCAGACCACGGCCAAGATGAAGACCGGGCTAAATCCACCCAGGCTTGTCATAAACTCCCGCACCGGGTCAAATACCCCTAGCACAGGAGTGAGGGGCAATTGATGAGGGGTAATTTGGCCCGACCTATCAACACCCGAACACATGGAAGCGACCTACTGATTGAATGATGACTTGACATTCCATGCCACCTCAGCGAGCCAGGTCAACTCAAGTACCTCGGGCACCTCGATCAAGACCGAGGTCTGAGCAGCTCATGATGGCCCGACCTGCCGAGGTGACACGTAGCCAACATCTAGAAGCTAGCCAGCTGTCTCCAAGCTCTCCAAGATTATGTTGCATGCTTGCAAGTCTTATCCTTATCCCGTCTGGATCGGATGGACTCGATAAGCCTTATCAACTAACACGAACTCCATCTCCTGGTGCAGAACATATTCCTAGTAGCACGAGCCAGGGATCTCGGAGGTGTCTCGTAAGACCTATGACAGCTCACCTATATAAGGGCACTAACCTCAACGTCACAAGGTACACACAATTATTTGCTCACTAGCCTTCTAACATACAAGCTTTCGGCTCGCACGCAAAGTACTATCTTAAGCATCTGAGCACTCACACCGAGTAAGCCACCTTGGGTCCTCTGAGAGTTTCATTCTTATAGTTCAACCGGCCAACAAAGAAAACCGACGTCCGAACTACCCTCTAGCTAAGAGCATATAGTTCACACACTATCACTCCTTTTCTCCTCCCTCTAGTTATTCCCCACCGCTGCTTCGCCAATTCGCTCATTCTCCCAATTACAAACCCATCCTTTCTCTCTACACTTCTCTCAATCTCGTTTTATCATCTTTCTATTTCCTTCTGCCTTTGTGAATATTATCAACATATTCATAGAAAACGAGAAAGAAAAAAAGAAATCTCTACATATTGATGCATTTTCTGAGTTCAGATCTGCGCTCCACTACGTCCCACAGCACATCCCCACCTTGTATTAGGAACATCTCCCGATGATTTGGTAATATCATCGGGAGATGTTCCTAATACACGACGGGGATGTGCTATGGGACGTTGTAGGGTGCCTTCAAAATGGGACTGCGGATCATCGGTTTTGGTACTTGCATCTGAGACCATTTGAACGTGGAGACAACCCTAAGCTTCAAAATGAATGCTTTTGAACCGGACTTGGGTTCATCGGTTTTTGTCCAATTTCAGTCCATTATTTATATCAATCCATTGCATTCGGACCAGTCCAACCCAACATAGTTTCTTGGACCGTTGAATCCGTCTAAAAATCAAATTCAGTTTGGATGAGGTCCAATCCAAAATCGGTCCATTGACATCCCTACCTTCAATGATGCAGAGTAAGTGTTTCTTTGGTTGAAGCAACAGGCATTGCACCCTGCTGATGGTGAGCCATGGTTGAAGGAACTGGGTGACTTCTCTGTTCTTACATATGATTTACAAAGGGTTCAACCAGAATTGTCACCTTGAGCCAAAACAAAGCACCAACTACGCCTACTCACCAAGGCACTACCCAACAAAAAACAAACCACACTCTTACCCTCATCCACAAAACATGACAAAACAAATCCAAAAATCTTTTCAAACCTCCCTACAAGCCTCTTCCTCTCCTTCCCCTTCCCCTAGAACTGCAATTCCTCAGTTCTTTAACCACTTGCACTAAACAATCTAAAGACAACTCAGTTAGTCTTTTCAATTTCCTGCTTCTGGTTAAACCTCTAAACCTAAAACCTTCCTCCACTTCTTTCAGTGAGTCATTGTCTTCTCTTTCTTCCTCCTCCGCTTGCTCTTCGTCCTCCCTCAAATCTCTTTCTTCCTCCTCCAAGCTTCTAATAATGTTCTTCGCACTTTCTTCTCCCCCTAAGAAAAACAATCCTAATTTCCTTGTTTGTTTCCGTACTCTTGTCCACTCGTTTTATTCAACACTTCTCTCTCTTTGAGGGTTATTCCCTTGCGGACGCTCCTTTGTGCATCCATCACTGGACTGAGACTCTCATCACCTCTAACTCCTCTGTACTGATGCACTCCGAATTACCTATCCCATCCTTACTCAAATTTTCTCCTTGAATCTGTACAACAAAGTCAGATCTTTGTTTGCCAACCTCATGCAAGTAAATTTCATGCCTCTTTTTTTGCAAGCACCTTTGGCCACTATTAAACTCTTTAAATTTCTCATTAGCATAGTTGTAAGTTTGTTTCTTCTTACCTCAGAGATTGCCCAACCCCGCAGTCTCTCCCAAATATAGTGGCTAGCTTTGAGAACTAGGATTTGGTTAGCTTCCAAAGTTTGAGATAATGTTGGATGTCGGCCCCACCTTAACTCGTCGCACGTTCTCCGATCACCTTCAACCTCTCCGATCACTTTGCAATTTCTCGAAACCGCCTTTCACTTGGTTCCTTGTCATTTTTCCTTCTGATGTTGGAGCCTTTGTTGATGGCAGGAGAGTAACACTCTAAAACTTCCCTTCCAGGCTTCTCCCATATTTCCTCCAGACTTTCTGATTTTCTGCCTCCTCCTTCTGTTGTCTTACTTGGAGGATCTTATGTTGCCTTTGTCCAATTCGAATCGACGGCCACCATTTTAAACTTTCACAACCCCTTACCTTCCAGCACCTCCGGCCCCTCAACCACCACCCTTACCAAGAACACCTTTCCCTGAACCTCCATTGATACTGCTTTCGAGACCTCCTCTGGAGCTCAGACCCAGATGGTCAACCGCACTGCTTCCAGATCTCTCCATCTTAAATTTAATGGGTCTACCTCCACGAAACCGCCCAACAGGTCGCCCATTTCCTTAAACACATTCCAACTCCACGCATGAAGGGGGAAGTTCGAAGCAGGAGTCCTTTCACTTCTAATACCCACCGGATATTCTTCCCTTTTCCAGATCGGGGTTCCATCGGTGAAGAAAAATTCTTCATCCAAAGCATCTCGAGGGGCTTGAGTTACACCAGTTTCATCGCCTCTTCCTCTGAATCTAGAAAGAAGCAGAACCTTCTCCCTGGGAGTCTTCTCACCCCTCCTATAACATTTCCTCCTCCTGGATTCCTCAACCACCTCTGTATTTCTTCAACAAATATTGCTCCATCCACCATTTCAGATACTACCGCTCTTCTTAACTCACAGAGCCTCAACCCTGTCGTCGTAGCCTTCACTTGAGCTTCCCCTTCTTCCGAAATACCAAGCTCCATGATTTCAGCCCTCCCTTAACAGGTTTAAAAGTGAAGATTGTAACTAATGGTTGGAGAAAGTCTGGGAGAGGAAGGGCGACAAGGATTTCAACATGGTTGATGTCATCGACCCCGAATCCGAATGAAAAAGTTCGGATTGGCTACCACTGTTACGCCTGGGAGAGGAAGGGCGACAAGGTTTCCACTTTTGCCTTGATGAAAAAGTTCGCTAGTCATTAATTAGCTACCACTGTTACGCCTGTCTAGCCTAGCCTAGTTCCAATCTAGTTCATCGATCTAGATTTTGGACTCAACATCAAAATAAAGCTACAATGTATCAAATTTGTCTACAATTTGTGAAACACTTTTTTTCGGGAGTAATGTGGAATTCTTGCATTTCTTTTATAATTAATTAATGAAGTTATTGGGAAGATTGGTTAAAAGAAAACACGTTCTAGCAACCAGTTTCTAGGTTAGCGGTTTGACTATCTGGGTCGAACGGTTTGTTATTAGGGCAAATACTTTATGAGTTATGAGATTTGAGAAAAGAGAGAAAGTGATGTTGTCGACTGAGAAAGGAAAAAAGAAAGAAGAAAAGAAAGAAAGAAAGAAAGAAAGGAGAGGAAAAAAGAAAAGAAGAGAAAGGAAAGGAAGGAGGGAAGAAGAAGGAAGAGGAGGGTGCTTCGATGCTCATCGGTGACGATAATGATGACGGCGATGGCAAAGCAGTGGCAATAGACTTTGAGTTCTCAAATCTAAGATCTCAGTTCTCAGATCTTCTTCTTCTTCTTCTTCCTCAAATCTGAGACACAAATTCTCTCCTGCAACTTTATACTTGCGAACCACTGTTCGGGTCAAACAAGTCGACGTTCGATCATACGGGTCAGTAGTTTTTTGACAAAGTCAACAATTTTTTACCCAGGAACGGGTTAGGGGTGAAATGAAACCGGTTGCTTGGATGGTTTCCAGGCCAAACAGTCCGACCATCCAGATCAACAACAGTTCAAAAACATTGATTTCAATGATAGCTAAAAAATGATAATTCCAACATGTTTATCTAAACCCATTATTAAAAGATAAATAAGTAATTAAAACATGGTATGCTTTTGGATTTAAATTATGCATTTTCATTTCCATTGTTAATAAAAGTACTAATTATTTATTAAGCCTCAACATTTTTTTTGTATTTTTTATATTTTTGTTTTTTTATCAAAATTTTAGGTTTTATATTGGTATCCAAGCAAGGAATCATTAGAGGTGCAAATTGTAGGGGTGCAAAATGGATTGAATCATGATTTGATTTGAATTCAAATTTGATATGATCAAAAATAGGATCAATTAAAAGTAGGATTGAATTTGAATCACCTATATATATAATTGCATTTTTGTAATTTGATTTCTATATTAATTATGTTGTTTTATAAAAATATGCATATATATAATAAAAATGGTTGAAAAAATGTTTATGTTTTTCGTTTTTCTTTGTATAGACTATTTTATTTCTTTTTTTCCTATTAATAATTTGTTAAACCTTACAAACTTATTATTCAAATTCAATTTAACCTTTGTGAGATCCGTTAAATTATTGGATCAGATATAGAATAACATTATTGATCAGATTGGGATATACCTCTATCCGAATTTGATCCAATCCATTTTCATCCATAGCAAGTTGGGCGAGTTAGGCTTAATTTATTAAGCCCAACCCTAAGAATTGGGTCTAACGCTTGGGCATAAGCCTAATCTATCCAATACAGGCCTAATCGCATTGCAATTTGATGTGGGTTGGGCTCATGTTGCTAAATCAGCCCATACTAAATGTATGTGTTTATGTATGCATATACATATGTATATATGCAAATATGTCGCTATTTGTATATAGTTAGGCTAGGCTCAAGCTACCTAAGGGCTAGGTTCAAGTCCAGCCCAAAAATTAGAAAAAGCCAAACTTTTGGGCCCACCCAACCCAAGGACTGAAAATTCAAGCCTTGCTTGTCTTAAATCGCAATCTAAGTCAGTTTAGGCACGAGTTGGATTTGCCTAAGTAGATCCCTATGGATCGTTGACCACTACTTAGAAAATAGTTTTCTTACAAGTTTGTTATTAAGAAAAATAATTTTATTTATTTATTAAAAATTCTAATATGTTTTATTAATTCTATGATTTTATATTTTTAAAAATTTTATTTTACCCATTTGACCTAAAAGGTTAAACCATTAATCCACCATTTGAATAGGAAAGTAGTTTTGTTTTTGGGTAGTTTTTAAATTATATATTTCATTTTGAGCATTAACAAATAATTCCTCTTATTTATCATACCTATTTTTTAATATGATAAATATGACACTATGAGTTCGCCTATTTACTTACATGCCATCTAAATTGAATGATGGTTTTATTTTCATGTCAATTTTAAATGCATAGGTTTTGTATTGTCAAAACTATTAGATATTAATTTAATTAATATAATTTATTAGTGGGAAATCAAAACACCTCAAATAAAAGATATGACCATAGAGAACGAGAGTTAACACTTTAAAATATAGGACTTGGAAAAATCCCTTATGAAGTTCAATTGCATTGGATTGGAGATCCCCTACTTTTTAATAACCTTTTTATTTCGATCAATAGAGGCAATTTAATAGCCCTTCTTATTTCAAATTGTTACAATATTAATTGTCTTAATTATGTTTCTTTGTTAAAGTACACATTTGTCCCCAAGAAATTCAATGATTAAGGGGTAATTTATGTCAACAGGTTTACGAGACCACACGTGTA